TAGTAGTAGTAGTAGTAGTAGTAGTAGTAGTAGTAGTAGTAGTAGTAGTAGTAGTAGTAATAGTAATAGTTGCAGTCTGTATGTCATATAACTGAAAATGCCAAAGATTTAAAACCTTTCGGAGAAATCTTGCAAATGTCAGAGGGAAAGGTTAAAGTTTGCATGGCTCAGATTGCATTTTTATTTATTCATTGTTTGATATTTTATCTGTCTGAAGATAACATTACAGAAAAGAGAGAGACAGCCAGTCTTCGGGACTCTTAATATTCCACTACCACATAGATTACTAATGCACATAATTTGGGAGGGGCCTGGGTGGGACTCCACTTGCATAAGCTGCTTGCAAAAATAATAAAGGCGGGAGACAAATAAGTAAATAAAACATGGAAGGACCTCCCCAATGATACATCCTGCACCACACCTGGCCTCCACCACTGTCTATTTTTTAACTCACAACTTCAACATGTTGTTCGCTTGCATATTGAAATAGAACTGCCGCTGGGGAACCACTCTGCCTTTTAAAGAGGTTTCATTTTGGTTGTACTTTTCTTTACATTACAGTTTTCTGAGAACGGTTTCATTGCATCTATTATTCTTTATGAGAATAATGGCCTTCTTTGGCAAGATGACATAATTTAATTAGCAAGGTTTTTGAAAACACCCAGAAGGCCAGATCTGGACCAAAGCCACTGTTTTTTTTTTCAAGCATGCAATTAATTCCTTGCTGAAGTTTCAAAATATACACACATTCATTCATTCATATTCTCTGTGTGTGTATCTCTGTCTCTGTATCTCTCTGTCTCTGTTTCTCTCTCTCTGTCTCTCTCTCTCTCATTCTATCTCTGTCTCTGTCTCCCTCTGTGTCTGTCTCTCTGTCTGTCTCGCTCTCTCATTCTCTCTGTCTGTCTGTCTCTCTCTATCACTGTATCTCTGTCTGTCTCTCTGTGTCTGTCTTCCTGTCTGTGTCTCTCTCTGTCACTCTGTGTCTGTCTCTCTGTCACTCTGTCTCTCTGACTGTCTCTCTCTCACACTGTCTCTCTTCTCTCTCTCTGTCTCTCTTCTCTCTGTGTGTGTATCTGTCTGTCTGTCTTTCCATCTGTGTCTATCTCTCTCTCTCTCTCTCATTCTATCTCTGTCTCTGTCTCCCTCTGTGTCTGTCTCTCTGTCTGTCTCGCTCTCTCATTCTCTCTGTCTGTCTGTCTCTCTCTATCACTGTATCTCTGTCTGTCTCTCTGTGTCTGTCTTCCTGTCTGTGTCTCTCTCTGTCACTCTGTGTCTGTCTCTCTGTCACTCTGTCTCTCTGACTGTCTCTCTCTCACACTGTCTCTCTTCTCTCTCTCTGTCTCTCTTCTCTGTGTGTGTGTATCTGTCTGTCTGTCTTTCCATCTGTGTCTATCTCTCTCTCTCTCTCTCATTCTATCTCTCTCTCTCTCTCTCTCTCTCTGTGTCACTGTATCTCTGTCTGTCTTCCTCTATCACTCTCTGTGTCTCTCTCACTCTCTCTGTCTGTCTGTCTCTCTCTATCACTGTATCTCTGTCTGTCTCTCTGTGTCTCTCTCTGTGTCTCTCTCACTCTCTCTGTCTGTCTGTCTCTCTCTATCACTGTATCTCTGTCTGTCTCTCTG